CTTTCACCCAGCATCTGAGATCAAAGTTTTGAGCTGTCACTCTTCTCAGTCTATCCAGGACAAGTTCTCCACATCCTCATGAAGAGAATGGAGGACACTCGTTCTGGGAACAGGAGGGAGCACAGGGCATGACCACCTGGCTGTGGTCCCCCGCTCTCCCTCCTCCCGCCCCACACGTGGCCTCTGTCTGCAGTCTGCAGTGGTTCTAGGAGGATGGAGGTGAGGGTGATGGAGCGGAGGGGACCACAGCAGACGGGACATCCGGGTCTCCAGCCTGCCCACTCACCCTCACTTCATCAATGAACAATCAGACAGCATACTTGGACTTGAAAACGTTCTACATCTCAAATGTAATTAAAAACCTGAGACTGGCATGAATATGTAACGTACACATTGCTTTGCAGATGCCTTTTTCATCCGACAGGCTGGTGCCGACTTTAATTTGGAAGAAATCCATTTTCATACAAAGGTAACCAAGAGTGACAGGAAATGGGAAGCCTACACCATTTATCTTCTGTGAACTTTAAAAAAAAAAATCAGTTAATTGCTTTTCTAGGAAGCTATTTTGTAGAATCACGGTACTTTATCTTCCTGTTCTTATTCGTGGTATAAATGGTGATTTTAAAATGCCCATTATGACAATGCAATGGTTAATCAATATATCTTATACTATTTAATTACTTATTTTCACAAATAAACTTCTGATCCACCAAAAATGGTGACTCTGTTCTTGCGGATGAATTCTCAACCACGACTCAAATGTCTTATATGCAGTGACATTCAAATTTAAGTGTCTCTTGCCTTATCGTGACGAAGCTAAGGGCAGCAGCCACTGGCTTCCTCCCTTCCCTGGCTTTTCAAATGCACTCTATTTTCAGCCATCAGAGCTCTCTGCATGAGCAGTTTCAAACCATTGCTATTTACTAAATTAACAGCAAACAGGAACTAAACTGTGTATGGTTTGGAATACCACTGCTGAAGCTGTAACTTGCCAAACAAACGATTTCATAGCCTGGGAGACCCATATTTTGTCCCAGTGGCACTGCGTATTAGGCTTTTTCATAGCATTGTCCCATTTTTGCTTGCCGAGATCACCTAGAATTAGATATTTTTAAATTCTACCAAGTTTGAGGATAATATAAAGCATTCTCTTCACGTCTACAATTATCATTTTAATAATAATGAATTATTAGTCCATGAGTCGAAGACAGATACACCCTGAAGCTAATGTCACATAAGCTTCAGGGCCTCCTGAGCAGAGGTTCCTCTTAGGCCCCAGGAGGGGCACTAGCAACGTGTTACTATCTGTTTTTGTAAAAATTTCAAGTGTAAGACATTTTCTAGTCTTTTGCTCCTAAAGAGGACCCCTCCCTGCTTCCATGATGGTATATGTTTTAGATCCCACAAAACCTGTATCTGGCCCTGCAGGTAAGCAGTTCCTAACATCTTAATCTTGTATTACATC